AAGTGCTTGTGTGAAGGGGTGTGATTGGGTGAATGAATTAGTTGTATAAAGCGCTTTGAGTGCTCGAACAGAGTAGAAAAGCGCTATATAAGAACCAGTCCATTTACCATTTACCAAAACACAAGAAGGGGAAACAAGGGTTCACAGATACACAGAGGGGCAACCAAATAAGGAACATCTTAACTAAACAACCTAGGAACCAAGGCAAAAATAAAGAACAAAATACAAAACACACGAAAACTAAGAATACTGGTCCAACATGGCTCAGGACCATGACACAGGTGACTTATGAACAGAGAATTGTTTTTAAAACTAGAATAAAGCACTGAGCAAAAACACTTCCGTCCAGCTCTGAACACAGACGTACCTGCTGATCATTCTTTGCTCCTGTTGTTTTAGGTCACATGGTTAGAATTACATCAAGAGCAACATCTCCCTGTCAGGATCATTTAGTTTTAGCTGTCGTTGTATACAAATACAAGTCTAGTCCAGTCTTCTTGCCTTTTTGTTCAGTCAGCCTCTACTCTGCGTAGTTTAAATCTGTGCTCTCAGTCAGAGAGTCACCTCCTCTCCATCTCCACCTCACAGACACCTCAGTCAGAGCTTCATCCAAGCCTCATCTTCATCTTCACCACCACCTGCATCTACACTCTGCGGCGTCCTGTCCTAAATCCTCTCTGTGGGATTCTGCTCTGATGTCTCATCGGAGTCTAATCACCAAACTCTGCCTCAATAAACCATGTTTCAGTTCTTCAGTGATCTCTCTGTATTGAGCTACAGGATGAGGCTGACTTTGAGCTCCAAACTGTTCTTACTAAAATTCATATTTTTAAAAGTCATCATCAGTTAGTTTTGTGTGTGACTTTTTAATATGGATCATTCAATACGGATGTTCTGTTGGGGACTAGTGTAAGCAAATATTTGATCAGCATTTTTTACAATACTTACCCCTGATACTGGACAGAGTACAGAAGTGTAGTGTTGCATGAAGCCTGCAGGGGGGGCCACCTCAGCATGTGTCTCATGTCGACAGACTCCATGAAAACGCTGCTGGGAGCCGGTAGCGTCCAAACATCTGCAGGCACAGTAAAATGTTATAAATCAGCTATCATAAAAAATGTAATATTAAGTCAAATTTAATATGAGCAGAACACGTCCTGATATCCTCTGTTGCCATGTGACTAATCAAAACATCAGATGGATATTAAAAAAAGGAAATTGAAGCTGCAGACACGTATGAACCCAATCTAATCTAATACTGTTTGCCTGCAGCTCATCGTTACACACACTGAGTTATTAGTCAGAAGGTTCACTTTGTGTTTGGTTTTTCCAGTTTTCTGATTGGTTTCATTTAGTTTGGGAAAAAGATATCTGGCCTTAACCATGTGAACGTCCATATTCGCTGCATAGCTGCACTGACTCAAGCTATCGGTGTTTCCTTCTTACTGGTAGTTACTATTGCCACTGACCTCCCACTGCAACAAGTTAAACTACAGTCACTAAACCATCTTTTGGCACCAAATGGTATTATAGTAAAATAAAACCGACTCCAGTTCAGCTGCAGCATAACAAATAGAGGTTTTTGACATTAAGACATAATATTTGTTCTTCATTTTGGAAAATGTATCTATTTTTAAATGCATTCATTATAAATTGTTATCATTAAGTAAAGTTTCAAAAAGCCCAAAATAATAAAGAAAAGTTCATATATGTCAGTTTTTACTTCACTTGGCCTGCTGAGCCCAGGTGAGAGTAGTGTACAGCTCTACACGGTGTAACAGGAATAGTAATGATCACGAGCATCCATGATGAGCCAAGCACACTCGTCTCTGCTTTGCTTGCATGTACGTGACAGAGCGACTGACTGCGTCGGCTCCACAGACGTCAGGATGAGGGGAAATAAGGCAGGTTGGTCTTTTTAAAGCGGGTTCAGTGAAGAAGCAACGGAGAAAAGGAAACTCAGTCATTTTCATTTATGGTCAAATTAACTGTATCATTAGTTGGTAGATGTGATGAAAACAACATTAAAAAATAACTATTGTTAGAAGTTACACTTATTCAAAAGGCTTAAGATCTACTGGATATCAGACTGGATGATGAAGCTGATGTTCCTCCTTCAGTGACTGTGGCGCACAAGAATCGAGTGTCTGATTGGGCAATACAAGAGTCCACTTACACGTAAGATCTGCAGTGGACTTTCTTGTGTAGGTGTCACTTTTCTATTACTGACGTATTTTCTATTTTCCAAATTCTTTGGGGGGAGGAAACAAAGATGGGCTGTAATTATTTAATAATTCATAAATCTGAGTAATTTTGTGGTAGGTTAGGCTGGCGTGTGTGTGACACTGCTGCTCGCTGTTTACTTCACCTCAAATAAGTCGACTCCCTGAACCTGCATCTGTCTGCTGTGTTTGCCCTGTTGACGCCTTCAGGTGCATTTTTAATGCAATTATCAGATTCTTCATCTGTGGTAGATTTTACTAGAAGACCTCCAATTATTTTGATGTTTAGTATTTATTTACATGACTAATCATACTCATCTGTACTCATACAATTTATGCATACAGTCGTTTTAAAGTTCTTTATGAATAAAGATGATGATGATGATGATGATGATGCTCACTTGGCTTTCACTCAACAAATACGAGATAACACAGATTCCTTCAGTCATGTTGTGACATCACCGGTGCAGCCAAGCTTGTTCGTCTGCAACAGCTCAACTAATTAAAATGTAACAATAAAAGGCATTACGCACATTTCAGGGTTATTATAACATAATGCAGTGTTACGCCCACAGCAGTTTCAACATTATCAGATAATGTCAGAGTTTTCCGTTCAGTATTCTGCCACATATTAAATTTAATATAATAAAAACAGACATAAGTAGTCGTAGTTAAAGGTTTGTGCAGCGTAAATAAGTTACTGTTTATTATTCGAGCTGGCAGCTATAACAATCACACAAACTCCTGTTTCATGTGTATGTGTGGAGCGTACACCATAACTGCCCCTTCACGGGGTTCACAGGGAGGATTGACCTCCGCTGGTAATGACTTCTTATTCTACAGATTTAAAAATATATTACGTTGTGTTAATATAGATAAGAATAGACACATTTATGGTAAATGGCCTGTATTTATATAGCGCTTTACACTATACACAATCATCCAC